GTCACTATCTAAGTCATGTAGAAGTGCATTAATTGATATATGAGCCAAGAGAAGAAAGAATATTAATAATGGTAGACATATGTGTCTGAATTTTTATCAATCTGAAGATTATTATTTAATGAAAGTAAAGTTCACCTTCAGGGTTGACTGATCTAAAAGTTTCTGCAATTTATATTGCAAGTATTATGAACATTTTGAGATAAATCTGAAAGTACTTTGTAAACTATAAAGTGTGTTGGAAATGTAAGGGATTGTACAGGTCACTGTCCTGTGCAGCTTCTAAGTTATAAGACAGAACTCTTTCAACGGATCAGAGATGGTGGGAAAATCAAACCTAAGTCTTGCAAGGAATACTGGGCAAGTTCTGTGGACTCCCTTGACTGACTTCATGTTTATCTTCCTCTAAAGTGCAACACTATATTTACATGTTTGAAGGTGTTGTTTTGTTTTAAAATATTTTAACTTAAGCATGCCATTTCAGGGTACAGTAAACTATATGTTCTTTGAAATTCAAATCAAGAGTTTAAAATTGAATACAACTCTAATGTACCAATAAAAAGCGTGGACAAAAAAGAAAAAAAATTGAATACATACTGACTTAATTTAATGGGCTCTTCCATTGAATTATGTACTGGTGTTGAGTTCTAACAATTAAAAGAATAGTAACAGTGAGTGAAAGTGACTTTTTTTTCACCCCATTACCACCTGAGGTAGATTTTCGCACCCTGCTTCATCCTACTTTCTTCTGTAGGGAAGGAACACCACCTGCCAGTCAAAATCAATTCATAAGGATCTTTTATTCAAGAATGTAAGTCATCCTATATAAAATATGTTGAGTTTTCAAATAAGAAAGGAAAAAATATAATAACTTCAAATTAAGAATCTCTACAATGTCTGGTTTTTTTTTCACATGTGTAGAGATGGGGACAAAAAGTTCTATGCAATCCTTTAGTATATATAGAAGATATTGTGTTCTTCTATGAAGAATCATACTTGGAAGGAAGTTCACAATTGAAGGGTTAGAGAAGACTCTATTTTGAATAGATGCTAATTTATTTACATAACTTTGTAAATAATGAAGATAATTATTATGTTTTGTGTACAATTTTGTAATAAATAGCAATAGAATGATTAAAACATAAAAGTCAATAAATGAAAGAAATATAATAGGTAGGGAAGACCAAACAAAATAAATAAATAAGTGATCATGGAAAAAATATTGTGTTCTAAGATATTTTTCTTATTTTATGATTTAAGTTTTTTTAGTTTATAATTCTTTTTAATGTTTGTTACTAATTTGGATTGTAAGGTAACATATCTTAGACTGGGGATGCAGCTCAATGGTAGAGCATAACAAATAAGGCCCTGAGTTGGATTCCCAGAATTGTGAAATGAGGATTATGAAGATGAAGATGATAATTCCTACACAGTGATACAATCTGAGTCAGAATTAATTACTTTAAATATGAAATTTCTATAGGTAACTCTGAAAAAATTCAATCTTCATATTAATAGTGAGATTTTCTTTGACTAAGATTTCAAAGCTAGGTAAGCAAGTATCTCAGGAATTATTCTGATGAAACTAAAGAATCCCAGTATCAGTCTATTATCAAACAAGTAATGTGACAGTTATTCACAGTGTCCCCCAAATCAATGATTACAGCTACATTATCTTCTTGCTCTATCTTCATTTAGAAGAAAGCAAACCATCTTAAGTCAAACTGGTACGTTCACCCATTCACTTCTCTTCCAATCAAAACCATATTACCTGTCAACAGAGAAGTACACTTACAAGTGTGAAACCATTTGACCATGTTATATTTTAATTTGCAGAGACAAAAATGACAAGCAATTTATTTACATAAAACTGTACAAAAGCAAATTAAATTATGTAAAGAGTTCATAAATAGTTGGACGAGTGTTTAATACATTTCGTCATGTTTAGCATAGTTTCGTGCATAGTGACTCATAATAAATGATGATAAATTGTTCTCTGCTTCACTATCAACATCCAAGTAGCAGAACAATAGTCAATGATCAACATTACAAACAGATCGTACCACACTGAATGCAAGTGCTTTAAAATGTCGGAAAAGTTGTCTGAAAGTAACCCTAGGTAGCTGAGAAAATGATGCTTCCTCTGGATGTTTTATAAACCTCCACTTGGGTCATGACTAACAAGCATTATTATCTTCCTGATAAGCTTCATTCCTTTTTTTTTTTCTCTTAAGGACACATTATGGATTGCTGATATAATATACCTAAAGTGACTTAAGTCTTCAGATTTTTCACAACTGCTTTAGGATGGCTGTTGGATTCTTGGCAGTTTCTTCGGGTCTGTGTGTTACTTTATTTTCCTATAAGGCAGCTTCCCAGGGTAGCCTTTCAGACAGATGTCTTTAGTACCATCTTAGTTCCTCCTCCCATAAAAATAATGCCTCCCTTGTTTTCTGAAACTCAGGCAGCAGGCCAGTCAAAAAATATACAGAAATGATGTCTGGAGAATCAGAAAGAGCAGTAGATTTTTAGATTGGTGCTACAGATGTTTTAATACACATAAATTTATATAGTTACTCAATTTATAAATGTGTCCAAGTGTGTAATGCATGCAAAAAAGTTCACTTGAAATTCTTGTGTACAGAAAAAAAAAGTATTGTTTATATACTTTACAACCAAATGAAGAAGCAGCTGAATAAAAACCAAACAGAAAAAAGAATAAAAATTCTAAATCAATATTTTATCTTACAAAATAGACTGATTTCACCCCTACTAGTATGTCTTTGTGTTACTTGTAAAATAAATGCTTTCTTCCAGTGAGTTTATGCAGCCCATAGTAATGCCTGAATTTCATTTTATGAATGCACAATATTTAAGACTGGTCTATTATCTGAGTTTGTCAGAAGGCAAATTTTTAATATATTATTTATTATTTTCAGAAAATAAACATGGATAAATATACAGGATCAAAAAGTTGGGAATAGCCCATTTCCCCTCATTGTCCAAACCCAACAACCGTTTTTTTACCATAACAACAGGTATAAAAGGCACAGTTGCTTATTTTGCATTCACTCATTTATTTATTTTTTTTGTTTCTTTTTATTGATTTTTTTTCAAAAGCACTCTATATATGGAGTGGCACCAGATTTAACCTATTCAAAATAAAAGTCATACAAACACAAAATATATTTCTGTGTCATGCCAGCTCATTATATAATAAACATGTTATGATAGCTAATTCTACTAGAATTACTGCGAATACTTACAGTACACTGAATTTTTTTCTTTCACACCCATTTTAGTTCTAAAGAGAGGTTCACGAGTTAAATGACAATGACATGACTGTCCTGAATGTGGTGCAAACATCATTGGGAAAGGTGGAGCCAATTAATTTGAAGGTCCAGCATGACCCGTATTAGCTTCATAGACCATAGAAGGGTTTTAAGATAGAGTGAAATGAGCTACCTAAGTGGTTTCAAGTGTCTTGTGAAAGAAAGAAAGAAACAAACAAACAAAAAAACACATTAAAAAATGTTCGCTGAACATCTGTGTTATGCAATTATTTCCTTTGTAACGTGCAAGAAAAATATGTATACATTTCATAAGTATCTTTAGAAGTATTTTGTCTTAATAGGTACTTACAGATTATACAAGGCAGAACTGCTTTAATGCAGTTTCCTAACAAAGTACTAGAATTGCATCTTTCCATAGTGTAAATAATAATCAAACATAAACATGTTCAATTACTGATATTTTAGTCCAATGTTTTTGCTTCAATTACCTATCAGTTTTCATCCTACCTATTTTACACAAACTAACATCAAAAGAAAACTCCATTTAAGAAAGAGCATAAGGAAATGTTTCCAAAAGAGTATCCCACCAAACAGAGAAGTGGTTTTCTAGTAAGTATTTTGATGACCTATGGTGAATTGTCAACCTATACTCCAGGCTGCTTCTTCACCTTGTAGTCTAAGAAATTCTGCAAAGCATGAAACTACTCAAAGCTACTTTGTGTCTACAGTTTGCTAGAGAGCCATCAAAGTTATGCCTTAACCAGGTTACACACATTCAGTGATGAGAACGTTTGCTCTCTTTACCTGTCATTCCCTATTCTGTCCATGGATTGTCACTTTCATCTGAATGTCCCAGCTCAATTTTAAAGTTTTTATATCAACTTGTGTACAGCAAATGGCTAAATATCTGCATATTCTGCTTCTTTGTGTTGCACTGACAAACCTCCATGTTTTCCAACTTTAAGATGTATAAACGGTGAGAAATGTCACTGTCCAGAACTCATTTCTTTCATGTTCAGTATAGATTCATTTAAGATATATATTAAATAATGGTCAAATCACATTAGTGACAAAATCAATTAACTTGTCACCGTATTTCAATGCTGTGAGTTTTGAAACATTTCTACATTGTGCAGAATTCAAAATTAGTGCACTTAATTTTGCAAGTGCTACTGAACAGATGCAAATGCAATTGTTGTTTTAAATGTGAACAATAAAACCAGCAAGCAGAGCTGGGATTCTAAAAGGATACCAGTGGACTTAACTACTTAGACCATACACCAATGTATCTTTCTTTCTTTACCTGACTACCCATAATTATGACTTTAAAAAGTGCAATCTTCCCTGATAATACTATCTGAAATTAAACTTGAACCTCAACATGTTGACTATTACAGTAACAAAATATCTCTCATTTTTTCTCATTTTCTGAGCTTTGAAATAAATCCATTTTAAAAGAAGTAAGATGTTTTCTGGGCATAGAGACATATAAACTAAACTAGTATTTGAGTATTTCTGTTTGTGTATGGGTTCCGTTGCTTTTGTTGTTTAATGGATTTCCACGCCAAGACTAAATCAACTTCATGATTTCCCTGATCTGCCATATGATCTTTGGCCTCATAATGACAAAATTGTTCAAGTTAGTTGATAATTATGGTCCTGTTCTGAAAAAAAAATATTTTTTACAAGTAATAATTAGTGTAATTGATATATGTAATCAAGATTGTGTGAGAATCTTGAGTGAATGTATGGAATTGAAGTTGATGCTCTTGACCTGAAAATAACAACATAATGCCAGTTTGGGACTGCGATCCCCCTTCAGTGTTGTTTTGCTCTTAGTCTTTGCTAGAATAGTAAAGCTGTGATCTTCCCGGAATGCATTTGAGGAGAGTCCACCTTTGTGAGGACTGTATCTTTAGAGGGTTGTTATCACTTTCAAAGGATTGCCTTTGATATTTGATAAACCATATTGAGGGTATTTCTGAATATAATTTACCTTCTGCTTTTTTTTTTTAACTAGCCGGATGACACTCGAACAAAATCAAAGTGACTAAAATCATGCTTCAGCTTAGGGATAATGAGAGTGTGTTGTGTTCTGCTGATCAGGCTTGTTACCATGAAAGGAACTTGCAACCATCTTTTTTTTTTCTTTTCTCTTTTTTTCTTTTTGGAAGGGAGTGGGGAAGAGAAAGTGGGTGTTGGGGACCAGTGAGAGGGTTAGACATGCAAGTAACAAGGATGGAGTCTACATTGTACATTGTAATCAGGCTAACGGTATCGCTAAAGGCCTGATCTGGAGGCAGAAGTGGCAGGCAAAGCTTTGTCTCTTTGGTAGCCCCCTCTTTGTGATTAAATGGTTTTGCTTTGTAAGGTTTTTTGCCCCTCATTCTCCTTCTCATACATGAAAAGCACTTTGCTGTTGCTCCTTGATAGCCTACAGGTATACTTCTCTTCTAGTGAGAGTATTGACAGGAGATGGCTTATATTCCCCTGTTTTTGTCAGGGGAATATCCTCAGGGTTGGCTTCCTCATTTTTGCTGAAACTGGCTGCACTGAAGGTCTCATAGGACGAGGTCAACTTTTTGTTCAGGAGGTTTCTGTTGCGGTCACCCATGATGGCGGCCTCGCCATTAGCCAGTTTTTCCTGGCTCCCTCGTTCATCGACCGGCATGAAAGTGGAGAGTTTGGGTTGGCTCTTCTTCCTCTCTGGAGAAGTGCGGACAGGCATCCAGCAGGAATCTGAGTGGCCGTACTCATCACACTCTCGAGTGCATTTTCCAGTCAGGGCTACATCTGGAAGAGGCCTTGAATCTGAAACCCAAGCAGAAGCAGCTGTTAGTGTGAGACATTCCTCAACAAACTTTCCCCTCCTATACAAAACTGTCCTGGGGGGCAGGGGTAAGGCCTTGAAAACTCATTTCTCATTTTCCAATACCCTGCAGCTTATTCTGTAAAACATTTTATTTCATATATATTAAAGATAAGGTCTTGCAAAAACAAATATTATAGGAGAGAATAGACCAAATGATAAACTTAAGTATATAGAAGAAACATATATGTACTTGGTACAAGATAGGGTCATACAGATATTTAAGAAAATAGTGCTAAGTAGATGAGTATATTTCTATGGATACAATTTTGTTCTACATTCACTAGAGAAATTATTAAATCCAAATAGATAATTTTCCACATCTATAAATTATTTCAGAAATGGTATGCTTTTGCCAATTGGATTTCTTCTTGCTTTTACATTATTCATAGAATGCAAATCTGCAAAACCTTATATTTAAAATACATTCTGAAACATAAGGGTGACTGAGAAGTTGAACCAAAATTGACAGCACATTATGTGGTTAGAAGTATAATACAAAATACAAGCAGGTTATACATATGAGCACAGTAGCAATACACCACCTTCCCCACCCTGGACACAATTCCCCTTCCCCATGTCAAAATGACCTTATGTGTACCTTAGGATAATTCCCTGAAGTTACATAGAAGTACCTTTGTCAGTGTGTTTGATGAATGGAAATATTATCTGAATGTAATGTATCATGTAAATGTAGGTAAGTTCCTAAACAGTTGATGAAATAGCATATATTCCTAATTAATGGTGTCACCCAAGGGAATGAGAAATATATTCCATTTCTAAAAAGCTAAATCTTTTCTAGAGAGTTCTTAAGGATGAAGATTAAAGGTGGCAGTCATAAAGAAATTGTATGAATAAGTAAAATCATGATATGTGTATGTCTCTGGAAAATAGTTACACATTTTCTTTACACTAAAGATCTTTTTATAGAATATTTTTCTTTGAGAAAGAGTGAGGGAGAGAAAATCCTACTCTACCTCAACAGATTCTAAAAGAATAACTTCTTGGATTTGATTCAATTTACAGATTATCACCACATACAAGATGTACTCCAATGTATGTCATATGATATCAATTTATTGCAAGATGTGGGACTTTAAAACAGACAAATTTTGACCTCTGAAATAAATTCACAGTGACTTGCGTTTGCCTAAGCCTGGGTGAATAGGGTTCAGATAGGAGAGACGAGGATTACTTAAATCTCAATAGATTTGTACCTTTTGCATTTTTGTACCCATATTATGTCCTCTATTTTAACATTATATAAAGCATTTTTGAGGTTCTACTCTGCTAAATATTTAAAATCAAGGCCCTACAATAATACCTATCTTTTTTTTTTCTTCTGTGATGGGTAACAGAAATATGGACATTTGTCAGCCCATTAATTTTTTAACCACACTAGCCTGGGATTTTTATGCCAAGTGCTGAGAGGTCAGAAGGAAATGACAGTGGTGTTCATGGGAAATTTAGAATTAATTTACACTTTCTTAAATGTAAAATGCAAAGGCAATTATTTTTTTAAGTCACACATGCTGCTATTTGACTGCTAAATGAGCAGATCCTCTTAATTTTATCATCAAAAGAAAAAATCATACTATTCTTATTTTAATTCTAAATTCCTTTTGCTGCATCTCTCAGATATGTATTTTAGAAGCATTAAAAAATCAAACTATTGATAAATTTTATGAAGTTTTTTTGTAATCTAAGTGGTTTAAATGAGCAAACAGCAAATTCTTTGGGAATATGTTCTATCGTGGGATACTGTGTTTGAAGCTGACCTAAATGTTTTGAACAGGAAAAAAAAATGTGTGTGTGTGTGTGTGTGTGTGTGTGTGTGTGTATGTGTGTGTGTATATATACAAAAAAATGTAAGATCAGATCTACTTTTTTACTCTAAACATTTCCTTTTATCTTCAGCTTTTTAACAAATTCAAACTTTTTATTTTCCTATAATGATAGTGCTTATCAAGGACACATAAAAATAATCCGAAATTTAGCTACTGAAGTAGGAAAAAAATCTTCATGAATGAAATTGTCATTCCCTTCAGAAATGACCCAGAATTGTCTCTCATCATTTCTGTAAGTTTATTTATGTCTCATATGATGTGTCAGCTACACAGAGGATTACACAGGTAGCTGTTTTTTGGAGATTAATTTCTATTTTTAGTTTGAAATTAATTGCACTTGTTTTCTCTTGGTTTGATATGCATTTAGAAACAGCTTGTAAAATTATATTGATGCTTAAAATCTTTTCCTAACTTTTGTTTAACTCATGTATATCAACGACCTTTAATTCCTAAGAAATCATGCTCATTTAGATTGATTCAATTTCCAATCAACTCTAAGTGAGATGCTTGATAATCTTTTCTCTTGGTCTTCATAGTCTGGAGTGTTTCCTGCTAAAATTGATTTCCTTTTATCACTTTTAATGAAAGGCTGCTTGTCTTTGTGCCATTATCCACATGTGAGCTGCCACATCTCTATCCAAGAGGCATGACTTTTAATAAGGATGTCCTGTCATTTCCAAAGTCAAACACTTGATTGGAGACCACACTGAAAGTTGACAAGCCTAATTGGCTGAGACATGTTGCAGTGTTTGTCATCAAATTTAGAAAATAATCAAGAAAGGCTATAAGAGAATCATCAAGAGCAATCAAAACTTCCAATCTAGATGACTAAAATGAATCTTCAAAAGAAATGCCAATGATTAACAAATGCAATTTGTATTATGATGCAATTTATTAAGTAAGGGAAGGCATGAATGGAATAATATTTTTTTGTGTTTAAATATTTTATTATCTTAATTTTGTAGGCATATATTATAAAATCTTAAAACATAAAATTGCAGGGTCTTCAAGAATCACTAAATATTATTCTTCATACTTCCATAAAAGATATAATTTTAAAATCTCCTCTTTGGGATTTCATTATACAGCCAGATATTCTACATCTAGTAACTTCTTAGTCTTTCATGAAATAATGTGTTTTATGATATCTAATTATTTCATTCTTTGGTTTAATACTATTCCCTTTAATTTTGACCCGAATGAAAATGGAGATCATATTAGTTGGAATGGATCAAAGAAATATAAACATAGAATGTTCTATATGGAGATATAATAGTATCCTCTATACACATTTTCCACAATAAAGTCAGTTATTTTTTGTTTTCTTCTGTTGTTGTTTTTCTATTCTTTCTCTCAATCATATTAAACTGAAAAGATTAGAAACAGAAATGGTGCCCATAAGATCCTGTTCCTGCCAACCTTTTACTTGTACAGGTTTCCATTTTGAATTAATTATACTACTTACTAGAATTATGGCATCAGTTTAGAAAGTTCAAGTTCTTTCTTAGACATAAACCTAAGTTCACTCCAAAAAGCACAATTGTAAGCCATCATAACATAAAATAATCCTAGAATAATTTACAACATAAGAAGTACTGTCCCATACTTCACCCTTTTTACTTATCAGCTCAATCAAATAACAAGGAGTATGGAAGCCATGAGAGGTCAAACCCATGGGAGATCTGAGGCCAAAGGATAAGTGCTTTGACTACCACTTTAATGTTTTCCCATTACACGATATTGCTTCTTTCTAAAATATAACAGCTGAGTTATTTAGAGGTCAATTACTGCTACCCATACCAATAAGAAAAAGCTACAGTCCCTAAAGAAAGGGGGAAAAATAACTGAGCAGCACAGAAAAGAGAAACCATAGTCACAAATTTTACTGCCTACTAAAAAGAATGGTTTAACCTTCTTAAAACTATAAATATCCTAAGATAGAGAAAATTATATACCAATTCAAGAGTCACGTTTTCTCCCTAAAAGGAAGTTTTTGTTCTTACTAGTCAGGCAGGATATGTAGGTGGTGCACAGATGCCTCTAGATGCTGCTATAATGGTGCCAACAATAAATGACCACAGATAATATGTAGCATCATTAGAAATAACAAGAAGAGCCCAGATTTATGGAGCTGATATTTCCAGAAGCTCCCCTACACTATTCAGAAACGATCACAGGCATGGTTCTTACAAGACAGCACAGTGGATTGTTAAGACTCCTGCAGACAGGAGTGCACTGGACAGGACGTGCATTATGCTAAGTAATGCATTCTGGCAAACCTGGCAACTCCTAATCCAGGTCCTTGACATGGGCTGAAGATACAAAGATCTTCCATTTACTAAGAGAAAGCAGGACCATCTTGCAATTAGTTTTAATATGTTCTCAATGAGTTTTTGTTGTTGTTCCTTAAAGTTCAGATGCCTAAAGCTATGTACTTTGTTTATTTGTTTACAAATTACTTAATTTGTAGACCAAATGAGATAAATTGCTATTCAACATTGAGACTTCCCAGATATTCATACCATCCCTTTAATTTTTCATTAAAATCAAGCACCAGTCCATTCTTCACATTACTTAACAACATTATGTACATTAAAATTTGTGATAGTCTTTTTTTTAAGAGGAAAAATATAAGCACCATTCCTCCTTTAATTTTAAAGTACTTGTTTTTCTTCTTAAACCTTTTGACTTCTGGATAGACAAAAACTTGTTTTCTAGAAACACCTTAAAGCCTAATGGAGTTGAGTAGAGTATAAAAAGATCTTATAAATGGATAAATTAAAAAAAGATGAGAGATAAGTGGCAACTTTTCCAACAAATAGTTTTATATATTATGTATTTTATATTTTATACTTTTATTTTCATTAATCCCAATGAAAACATCTCTATCACTCAAATAATTAAATCAAGTGCTTTATTTTTAAATAGCTTTCAGAAAATTATTTATTTTGGCCTTGCATGAAAGGAGCAGTAATTAAATGTTAGCTACAAGTTTTTCTTATGAAAATTATTATAATCAATAAAGTTAGAGTTGAAGAGAAAATATCCAAAGGATGGACAGTAAGTTGAACTTGGCTTTTTTATGTCAATAATTG